GGGCCCAGAGAGAGGCTTTGGGGTGGGAAGGTGGGCTGAGCGACAGAGGACAGATAAGGACCCGCGATTGGTCAAATAATTAAATACTTCAAGAAACATGGAAGCTCTTTTTTTTTTTTTCACTGTTGGTAAAGGAAAATGTTCATGTGAAGTCACAGTGGTTAAGATCTACGTGCATGTGACAATAAATACAGCAGAAATAGGTGTGGGCTTTGCCTTGGGTGTAAGGACACCCCCCGGGCAGCAGGAGCCCCTCATACCCAGACCTTGCTGCTAAGGGCTTTCCCCACGAACAGGAACCAGGGCCTCTGAAGGGCAGCTGGTTTTAGGGGTGAGGGGAGAACAAGATGAACCTGAAACATCTCGCTGTGATAGAAAGCAAGGGGGTACCCAGAAGATGACAGGGACATGTCAGAAGGACAGAAGCCAGGCTCAAGGTGCCCCTGGACAAAACTGAGACAAGGTGGTTATGTGAACGAACAGCGGGGGTTTATAAACTATCCAACAGTAAAAAAAGGCAAGCACAAGGCCGTACAGACATAAAGAAACAAATTAAATGATGAAAATCAGGGTATATTCATAGTTTTCAAGCAATTCCCCCTAATATAAGTACTAATAAGAAAGAGGGAAAGAGCAGTTTCGAGTGGAAAAGCCTGGTGGGCAGTGACAACACACACAGGCACAGCAGAGTCCCAGTGTGATTAAGGCAGGACAGTCACGGCCCCGATGCAGCTCTCCAGGGACACGCTCTCCATGACCAGTTCCTGCCAACCATGCAGAACCCAAACCCACACAGGAGGACATCAGACAGACCGAAGCCTGCAGTCCCCAAGGTGATCTTGGCCACAGAAAGACAAACAGACGGTTCCAGACTGAAGCCCAGAGGGACTTGGATAGAGCCTGACAGTCTGATGGCAATCACATGGCAGTGTGGAGTCCCCGACTTCGACAGTCCTGTTATGACTACGTGGGAGAGCGGCACTGAGACGATCCTATAGCACTGGGGGTGTGGTCTCCAATTGGCAACTTGCTTTTACTTATTTTTTAAATAGGTTTTGGGGCTGATATGTGTTTTCTTTCTTTTCCCTTATTTTTTTTCTACGCTTTTTAAAAAAAATATTTTTTAGTTGTCAATGGACCTTTATTTTATTTGTTTACATGTGGTGCTGAGAATTAAACCCAGTGCCTGACACATGCTAGGCAAACACTCTACCACAGAGCCACAGCCCCAGACATTTTCCACATTATTTTACTGGTGCACTATAGTTGCACATACTGATGGGACTTTTTGTTACATATTTGTACATGCACACGATATAATTTTCTGTACTGTATTACTGACTTATTGGTAAGTCTATGATGGTTCCAAAATAAAAGTTATAAAATATATTAGGGATTGTACTTTAAAATGTGGTGGGGAATACCATCCATACTCTCCAATTATTAGCTACATTTCCTCCATAGGGTGATGAGTCATAGCCTAAGAATGCAGTGCCCTTCAAGAAAAATGTTGGCAAAAAGAATTTCCTGAAGACACTGAGCTCTGTTACATGGTGGGGAAAAAGCAATAGATTTTCTCCTAAGTCAACATTTTGATTAATAGATATACACTGCACATGCTAAATGGCTTTCTAATGTTCAAATACATAAATGAAACCCAATTCTTCCTATGGATCCATGATAAGCAAAAAGTACTCTTCCCTTGAAGGTCAGAGGGCAGAGGTCAGAGGGCAGGTTGGTGCGTACCGACCCCCAGTGACACACAGCCTCTTTCTTCAGCCCAGTGCAGCCTGTGGACATAGTGCTGTTTGAACAAAGGACTCCACAGCCACACCACCTCCCTCACGCCATTCTAACTTATATGCACTGTGCATTAAAAGGATCCAGTGAAGTGTTCTTCCACCTCAAGCCAGTGGTAGTTTTAGATCTATTTCCAGCAGTGGCCCAAAGTAGTGCAAGCTCTTTTCTTCGTACCTTAATGTTTACCAATGAACTTTCCATTTACAGCCGTTGCCATATTTCACTTTTCCCAGCTCTTGGAGTCGCTGTGAAATAGTTTCTGAGGGGTGCAGGCAACAGACTTCATGTTCTTCTTTGCCTCTCCATATTATTCTTAATGAATAACTATGGAATGAAGCATTTTTATTCCTTTTGCATTTTCTACTAATTATCCTATCTCTGGCTGTCTGCGGATATGAAGGATTTTTCTTTGTTGGTTTTTGAAAATATTAAATAAAAAAATTTAAGGTTAATATTCTTTCCCAATTTCCTTTTACTAATACAAGCAAATAAAAATGCTTTCAAAACCATCTCAATACAGTATGCATTAACCTAGAACACAACAGTTCTTTGTAAAACACTTTTTTTCCTGTATTTTTTTAACCCTACTTAATCCTTTCGGGCAGGTATTAAAATTATTTTCCAATATTTTTTTCCTGTTAAATCCACACCAGCAGACACTTCATCTATTCATGAAGGAGATGAAGAGACAGGTACAAAGTGTTCAAGGATGTGTTCCAGGAGAGCCCTGTGCCTGAAGGTGCTGTGAGCCGTGAAGTGTCTGAGGTGCCTGCTGCCAGTCAAAGGAGGACTTTCCCACAGTGATTTCCAGAATGTAAACTGGCGGAGCAGATCAGGTACTTGTTGCCGCTGCAAAAACATAGCCACCACCCTGACCTGGATGTGCCCCACCTGAGGTTGAGGTTAATGGCCCAAGTAGGGAAAGGGTGGAGTGTATGGGGGAAAGGACAAAGGCCTCCTTCATACCCACAGGGTGGACTGTGAGAGGCAGAGGGGGTGAAGCAGGGCAGAGCTCCCGTACAAAGCAGCACTTCTCCACCGTCTTTCCAGGGACAGCCGGGTTGATCTTTTTTTATAACAGAAAAGTGGCAGCTCCAGGTTAGAGGTGGGGAAATGAGAAGTAGCTGGTCAAAGGGTAGAAACTGTCAGAGGAAAGGTAGCAGAATACAACAATTACTAATTGGGCATTATGTAAAATTGTGGATGTGTAACCGACGTGATTCTGCAATCTGCATTTGGGGTAAAATTGGGAGTTCATAACCCACTTCAATCTAATGTATGAAATATGATATGTCAAGAGCTTTGTAATGTTGTGAACAACCAATAAAAAAATTAAAAATTAAAAAAAAAAGATAAGCAATTTCTGGGCTCTGTTTATCACACAGGTGGTGAGGGAAGGATCTAATTTGGTCATGATGATCACAATGTATAAGGATGTCAAATCCTCATGCTGTAGGCCTTGGATGTAGGAAATGTTTGCCAATCAAATATTTTACAATAAAATAATGCATTGCCTCTTCAATCTTCCCCTTGATGAGGTACCAGCAGCCTCCATCTGTGCCTTAGGAAGTGTGAGTCATTGGGGTAGGTCAGGTGTGATGCACGGAGGAACTGTTATGGTTTGGATGTGAGGTACCCCCCAAAGTTCATGTGTGAGACAATCAAGAAGTTTTAGAGGTGAAATGACTGAGTCACGGGGTCTTAATACAATCAGTGAATTAATCCCCTGATGGGATTAACTGGGTGGTGCAGAAGGCGGGTGGGGTGTGGCGGAGGAGGAGGTGGGTCATTGTGGGTGTGCCTCTGGGGTATTTTTCTACCTGGCAAGAGGAGTCTCTCTCTGCTTCTGATCATCCCCTGAGCTGCTTCCCTCTGCCACACTCTTCCACCATAATGTTCAGCCTCACCTCAAGCCCCGAGGAATGGAACCTGCTGTCTATGGATTGAGGCCTCTGAAACCATGAGCCCCTAAACAAACTTCCTCTCCCATTGTTCTGGTCATGACTTGTAGTCACAGCAGCAAAAAAGCTGACTGAAAGAGAGACAGTCTGTCTTTCCTCTGTCCCGTGCTTCCCGGGGGTGGCGTGGGAGCTCCCCAGTAACACCAGAACCAGCCAATGCAAAACCTGCGGCACCGCGTCAGAGGCGCCGTCTTCGCACCTGCGAGAGACGTGTGATGTGCAGTGTCTTCAGCTGCTCTTAATGAACACGATCTTATGATGAGAACTAGGAAGTGAATATTGAGAAAGGTGTTCCCTTTCAAACCAAGGGAGAGACGACAGGCTCAAGGGTAAGTCTCCACCTCCACCTCAAGTTTTCAAATTAAACCTCTCACCAAGTCCATCAAAAACTGGTTTCTGGTCCCTGCAGGGCTCAGGTGAGCCATGTCTAAAAGCCTCATTCCTGGTGCAGGATGCAGATGAGTGACAGAGCTCTTACCTAGCAAGCAGAAGGCCCTGGATTCCATCCCAGCACCATAAGAAGATAAAAGTAAAATCTCCTTCCCAATGGTGCAGTGCTATTCCTAACTGTAACTCTGCCTTGCTTATATCACGGACACATATGTTGCAACTGACCCCCGTAGACCAAAATAAAACAGTCCTTTTACAGGTAAAAAAGTGAGGGTTAGGAATAACTCCAAATCAATGACCCTTGTGTTTATGGATGTACATAACAGGGAATTGGTAGCTTTTAAAATGCTTTTAACTAATTAAACAGAATGACTTCTCCGAAATTCCACTTATTACTATGGCAAAATTTGCTATTATGGCATTTTTTAAAACTACATTTTTTTAAATGCCCACAGACCAAGCAGAAGATTGAGAGATGGAGAATATTTTTGTCCTATGTAAAAAGAGAGGTGGGAGAGAATTATGAATTTAATTGTACAAGTTATTTCAATCTAAAAATAAAGGTGCTAAATTGCAATATATAGTAAGAATGCCTTTTTACCATCAAAAATCACATCACCATTCAGCAGTCACCAAACTGAAGTTGCCAACCCTGTGTTCCTGCAAACATTAGTTTCACTGTTGCTAGTGGCTAAGCCACTACTGGCCCCACTGATGAAGGGGGCATCAGGGATAGCACCCAGGGGCAGAAAGGAAGCAGCTGCCAGTACCAGACGACACACCTGGGACCTCCACTCCATCCTCCTGAGGGACGGGAAAGTCATTGCCTGGATGCAGAGGGGCACTCACCTGCCAGACCAGGTGCTCCTTGGCCCCGGGCGTCGCAGACAGGCAGACGCTCAGCACAATGGTGTGGGAGGAGGAGGTGAGGACGCTGGCGATGATGGCGTCCCGCATGTTGAAGGGCAGCATGGTGTAGACCACGAAGACGATGAAGAGGAAGAAGGACACCTGCGGGCGGAGAAGGGAGGGTTACAGAGTGCACTACTCCAGGGGCCTCCTCTGTCCTCCCATCCAAGACAGCAGAAAGTGACATGCCCAACCGAGAATGACGACATAGCCAGGTGCGATGGCACACACCTGTCATCCCAGCGGCTCGGGAGGCTGAGGCAGGAGGATTGCAAGTTCAAAGGCAGCCTCAGCAAAGTGAGCATCAAAGAATTCAGTGAGACCTCGTCTCAATAAAATATAAAATAGGGCTGGGGCTGCGGCTCAGTAGTCAAGTGCCCCTGAGTTCAATCCCTGGTTCCCACCCCCCCCCAAAAATAAAGAGAAATAATGACATGACAAAGGGACAGCAAACGGAAACGAGCCCACTGGGTTCAATAAGGGACTGATTTCTATGACGGGGCAGAGTTCTTACTTAAGACTGCAGGACTCTCACTTTTGGTGTCCAAGCCATTGCAGACATTAGGTCAGACTGAGCGGTGCCTGGGCACAGATGCAAAGCTGGTCCAGAACCATCAGCACCTGGTATCGGGCCTTAGAGGCACAGAGGTGGTTCAGCTGTAGTGCACCCTCTTCCAGAAGAGGTCAAATACAGAATAGCCACGTGACCCAGCAGTTCCACTCTCAGGCATGAACCCCAAAGAAATGGGCACTCAAGCAAGTGCACGTGCACACGTGTTCACAGCGGCACACACACCCCAGCCAAAAGGCGGGAACATACATCTCCATGGAGGCATGAGCACATCAACAGCGTCCAGCATTTCCATACATGGGAAGGCACACCCAGAATAAAGAGCAGGCTAGCCTGCAGGGGACGTGGAGGAGTCATGCCAAGGGAACGGAGCTTGGGTGAAGTTCCACTACTGAACGACTCCATTTACATGACCAGGCTGGAGAAGTAAGTCCATAGACAGAGAGCAGACTGGCAGCTGCCAGGGGCTGGGGTGGGGTGGGACGAGGAATGGAGAGTAATTGCTTAATGAGGATGGAGTTTCCTTTTGGAATGATGAGAAAGGTCTGGGAGCCAGTTCTGGGAGTGGAGGGCATGTGGATGATCCCTGTTCTCCACCACGTCACACCCCGTGGCAGACTCAGCCATGCCCATCGGCAGCCACTTCACAGTTTGCATATCCTGGAGTAGGGGCCACCTCCCCACCCAGCCCACCCCAAGGCGAGGATGAGGCAGACTCTGAATCACCTTCTCCAATCATTGCTGCTGCTGCTCAGGATAACAGCAAAGGAGAAAGCCACGAGGGACCAGGAACCCTGCTCAGGGAGCCCAGGGGGTCTGGGTGGACCCTACCTCATGCCCCGCTTCCCCTCCTCAGCCTACATTTGTAAGGAATCCCAGGTCAAAACGCATGGGCGAACAGGTTTTCATCTATCCTGGAAAATAATTTTATTCTTTCACCTCTTCAAAATAGAAGACCATGAAGATGTGTTTCAGTAAAGCTTGTTCGTCAGTGTGACGTGTATTCCCTTCTCCATCCCGTATATGGAATGGAAAACCAAGGCCCCAAAGAAAAGAGGCCTTAAGATAGTTTATGTACCAAGGTGCAAGATGTAGAAGGGAGAGACAATCAAGTCTTTCGTTCACAAAATGAACGGTGATCTGCTCAGATAGGCCGACACCTCGCTCATGTCATCTTTCCAGGGACAGAATATATAGAAAGCATTCTTGGAACCAATAATCATATTCCAAAACCATTAATCACTAGCACCAGCATTTACTGAGTGCCTGGTGTTCAGGCCTTTCACCATCCATCACGTGGGCCTGGGCGAGAACCACGAAGTGTAGCAAAGATACACAGGGTGCTGTGTATCGATAGCTTATGGAGAAACTTGATTTTTTGGAACTCCTAATACACATCAAATTGCAGAAAGTATTTTCAATTAAGACACTGTTCTTTCTACACAAGGCCTTTGTGTGAAACCTTGTGTCCCACAGAGGAACTTCATCTGTATTGATGCACTGCAAGGTGTTATAAGCTCAGCCCTTTTGCAGAAGAGCTTCACCCACCACTAACAGAGAGCTCACAACTGGTCCGTGTCGGAACCTAAATACAAATCCCAGAGTCGAGGCTTCCCTCTTTTCTTGCTGAACAGCTCACCATACCCTCCTCTGGTAGATACAAACATAGTTAGGAGAGAAACCAACACTTAAAAATGAAGGCATATTAAAAGCCATCAGTGCATGCTAACCATTTCTGCAATTCTGAGGGTGACAGCAGACCCTGGTCACAGTCACTCAGATAACCACATGGCACCTGGCATTGTCCCTCAGACTCCAGATGCTTTTGGTGAAGAGGACCCATTTTTTAAGACTTATTTCAAAATATTTGCAATATTATTTCATAATATCTGAATGGCACAGTCATCTTTCCTCCAGGTCTACGTGTTCAACTTGTAGCGTGTGTCCACAGCATTGGTTATGATAAATAATTTATGGTGAACATTTAGCAGAATCATGAGTTAGAGAAAGAGTTATACTAACTATTTGGAAACTACGAGTGGAAATAGAAACCCTGTGTTGAAATGTTGAAAACCAGAATAATTACATTAAGAAGGCTGACTTGGCCTCTGCACTGTCAACCGTTGGGGCTGGATGAGTCTTCGTCCTGTGCATTCCAGGACATTGAGCAGTACCATGGCCCCCATGCATGAGGTGCTGTATCAACCCCTGCAGGTATGACAACTGAAAGCATCTCTGGCCATCAACAATGTCATCCATAGGCTACTCCAGCCCTGGTGACAACGATTCAGCTATAGCAAACATACAAACATAGTTAGGTTTCTTTCAGGAATGCAAAAAGTTGGTGCCTAGTCACAGTTTCATGAAAAAAAATTAATTGACTAGAATTTCTTATATCCATCAAATGTAAAGGACATATTTCAATTCATATATAGTTTTTTTTCTACATTTAACGTTTGATGCAAAAACTGTATGTCTTCCAAGAGGTATTGAATGGGTATTTTCAGGTATTAAAGTTGATAGTCAATTCCAGAAAGGACCTCTCTTTTGCAACTACCTCTTGTCCTTACAATGAAAACATCTTTAGTGTTTCTTTGAAACATAACATTTTTGAACAGTTTAATTTTGGATGGCTTTTAAATTATTGCTTGATTTCCATTGATACGAACTTCTGCAAACATGTGGCACTTTGAAAGGACACGTGGAAGGCCTGGCCATGATACCCAAATGGAGACTAGACTTTTGTCTCCCGAATACAGTAGCTCTGTGAAATGCTCACTTCTAGATGGCAAAGTGGGTTTTCTAAAGGTTAATTAAACAAACTGCATTGACTCACACTCAGGGTGTCAGCTGCAGCCTTTCAGGAGCTCAGCGGGGGGTGCCTCAGTCACATCCAAGTATCACTGGGTGGAAGAAAGTCCAGCTCATTTGAAGTCCCACGGGGAGAATGTTCTTCCCGTCTTATCAATCTCAGGGGGTTCTAGTGTTTCCAAAGCCTGCTTTTCAACACAATTGGCCATATGTAAAACTAAAATGGGTTTGGCACATCTAAAAAATGTGTGGGTAAAAACGTTCTAAAAAGTCTAATGTGATCTCTCTGTTTCCCAGGTTACCATGGGGACAACAGCCTCCCCTCAGATGTTCCACCATCCAGAGGCAGAAGGGAGGAGCCACTGATCTGCAGGCTTTGATCCTGCCCAGGTGCCGGGGTTAATGCGACATCTCAGGTGGTGGTGACATCTGAGGTTCCAGCCAGGAACCACGAGGTTTGTCTCCTCTCTGCAGTCCTGCATTTGCCTTTGCAACACACAGACATCTTCCCACAGATTCCCCACTTGAACCCCAAGCTCCACCAGTTTCTAACCAACCATGAGCTTCCCTGATGTCTGTGATGGCTTGGTCTCCAATAACCCAGGCGCAGACTGTTGGGGGTCACCTCTGACCATGCTTTCCTTCAAATCTATGCTAAAAATGTGTCTTCTTACTTTTTGAGTTCAGCATACTGCCTCTGTCTGTCTGTCCCTGTCCACCATTCTCCCCACCAAGCTGGCTCATTGCCTTTGCATTGGGAAGAAACATGCCTGGTCTAAATCCCTCCCTCTTCTTCCCCTCCCTCAACGCAGAAGCAGAGTGTATTCCTGCTCATTTGTATGCACTCAATCTTTCTCCATGCTTTGGGGAACCTTTAGGACTCTTCTGGGCACATGGTACAGCTTCACTTCACCATTTGCTTGTCTGTAGGATCCATGGCTTGTGTTGACCAAGGAAGCATAAGCAACACTGGTGTGTCCTTTCTGGAAAGAACCTGTGCATATTTTTTGCTGGCTACCTGGCAATCGTGGGACCATGGTGCTGGAGCTTCTCCATCCTGAGTCCCCAAAAAAGGATGGGAGTCCCTCAGGTGACCCACACATACCTACGGTCATGACAGTGATTGATAAGTCTTTGTGGCATTGGGTCCCTGAGTCCCTGAGTCTCTCTCTCTCTCTCTCTCTTTGGTTTTGTTGATATGATGCTTAGAAAATTCGATGTTTTATATACAGGACTCTACAGATTTTTGTTCATGTAACTGTTCATTGTGGACATTTTCTTAAGTGCATAGATATGAATATATTATTATACCTTTTCACAAGTTGCTAAGTGTCCCATAGTAATGGACACATGTAAACTACAGCGAACACATCCTCGTTGCTGTTCTCTCACGGCAGGACAGGCACCTGCGACCTGACTGAGCACGTTCCTTCTGATCTCACTGGCTCCAACATTTTCCTTTCTCTAATCCAGTGTACGATGCTCCTGCTCTGAATACACAGGTCTAATGTGTTTCCTCCTTGGATGACAACCTCCTCTGGTTGCCCCCTACCACACCCCTGGTCCTCATGGCGGGCTTTACTTATGATCATGCTTGGGGTTCCCACTTATTTATCGATACTGTCTCCATGGCTCACACGAAGGATAATGACCCTTCAAGAACAAGAACCTATTTCACTCATCGCCAAGACCTCAATGCCTTGGACAGTACCTGGCGCAT